TGGAAACCGAATAGGCTTGAGTTCGGTACACGTAACCTGGTTCGGTGGTATAACTATAATAAGAGAATGCACCTTACCTAGGAAATCAAGCATATCTATGCATGATAAATAAACCCAAGCTAGATATAGCATAAGAAAGTCTAGGCAAGCTAGCAAAGCTAGCATAAGCCGTCGTACTCTCACAGGCGCCCTCGGTAGCAGTGGCCCTCAACAGTAGTGGTGGCCTGGTGGTTTGGGTATCATTGGCTGCAGCAGCGGCCCAGCCAGCTGGGGGGCTCGTCGCAGTGGCCGCGACGTCGGGCCCTGCCAGTACCGGACTTGACTGGCCCTGGTGCTGCCACTACCTGCTGGTGTCCTGACCACTCTGCACAGTGCTACTACAGCCGCCTCAACGACCAATACCGTAAGCGTTTTGGGCCTGAGTCGAGGCCACCAATCTGGCCTGGTCTGTCTCGTAGTCGTTACCCTGTGTTTGATATCTATGGATGCTACTTATTCTACAGTATCACGTATGGATCTCTTGGCTTGCGTGTACCTAGCTTAAGACCTTTGCCTGTTGCTAGTGTCGTTACCTGTGCTTTTAGTGTAGGTGCTTGTGTAGTCACTAGTCCAGCCATGACAGTTGTCGCGTTGCTCTTCTTCACGTTGGACTCAGGTGCGTCTCAATGTTTCTTTCGCAACCACACCACTTAGAGCATTCGTGGTCGTCGTGTCTCCTATCTCCACTCCGACCGTGGGGGCGAGTTTTGCTCCGGCATTCTTCGCGGATTCTGCGTGCGAACAGGGCACCTCACAATCTTGGACGCTTCTAGAGTCCCCACAGCAGAATGGGGTTGCTGAGCGCCGCATTGGCTTGGTCATAAATATCGCCAAAATGGGGCAGCAGCCGCACCAGCAGCAGCGTTAGCCATAGCCGCCACTTTTGCAGCAGCTGTTCCCACCAGTGAGTGGCCTTCGGGCCTTTGGTCTTCCCTCTTCTCCTCCTGTCCACTCACAGTCCCCTACGTTTCCTCCTCTGGACTTGGCTTCAGTTAGTTTCTTCCCCTTCTTAGTCACAGTCGCCTCCTCATGTTCTCCCGCACGTCTGGACCACTTGTTGTAATCCGTGTGCTCGTCCCTCGTCTCCTTTTGACAACCTCCGCACTATCTTGTTTCGTTCTAGTCACCGTCATGCTCCGCCTGTGTCTATTCTCCTGCACCTCCTGCGTCGACTCTCACTGTCTCCTCTCACCCTATCACCGACTACTACCGTGCTGCTCGTCCAGTTGTCTCGCGTGTTTCTTGCCTCTCTTGTCACCGGACCCTCGTGCCTCTCCGTCGTCTGTCTCGGCTCTTACTGCCGCTGTCGCCGACTTAGCTTCTACCCACCGGATTGACTTTGCCACGCGTGTAGTGGCTGCTCCGCCTGCCCATCCTCTGTCCACCTGGGGTGAGTTTTGCCCTTGGCTGTGATGTCCTAGAGCACAAGCAGTTTGAGTTGGAGTTCTTGGCAGCTGCTTCTCCCTCTCTTTGTGCCATGCTGCTTTCCCTTGAGGGAGATCCTGACGCCCTTGACATTCCGACTCCTCGCACGTACCGTGAGGCAGTGTCAGTGGAGTGGGCATCTTAGTGCAAAGCGGCTATGGACTAAGAGTAAGCGTCTTGGAGATCCACAGGCACCTACGTTGACTCAGTTCCCCCTTCTAGGGCGAACATTGTCGATGGCATGTGGCTCTTCAAGGTGAAGCGGCCGCATGGATCACCACCGCCTATGTTCAAGTCGCACTACGTGGCTAGGGGTTTCAGTTAGCGTGAGGGAGTTGACATATTCCAGACCTTCGCCCCGACCCCGAAGATGACTACTCTTTGAGTGTTACTGCACGTAGCAGCACAACGAGACTACGAGCTGCACTCCCTCGACTTCTCCACTGCGTTTCTCCAGGGCTGCCTACACGAGGAGGTCTGGCTGCGGCGACCTCTTGGCTTCCCTGACACCTTCCCACCTGGGACCCAGTGGAGCCTGGAGCGACCAGTCTACGGTCTCCGCAAGTCGCCCCCGTGAGTGGCACGACTCTCTTCGTTCCACGCTTTGTGACCTTGGGTTCCGTCCTTCTTCTGCTGACCCGTCGCTGTTTGTTCACGCTGGTTCCACTCCTTTCTTTAACTTGTCTACGTCGATGACTTGGTCTTTGCTACAGGAGACATGGCAGCTCTGGCTGAGGTGAAGTCCGAACTGCAGAAGAGACACATATGCACTGACATCGGTGAACCGCAGCGCTACCTTGGCCTGCAAATCACCAGGGACATAGTCGCTCGCACCATCACACTGACGCAGTCACACATGGTGCAGCAGGTCCTTCGGCGGTTCGAGTTTCAGTTCTCCACCACCCAGCCTACTCCTCTTGCTGTTGACCACAGACTTACTGGCCCCTTTTCCAACGAGCCCTTTGAGTCTAATAGTCCCTATGCAGAGCTTGTGGGCTGCCTCATGTATCTGATGACTTGTACTCGGCCGGACCTCGCCTTTCCCCTCAGCGTCCTCTCCCGTTTTGTTGCGAATGGGAGACACCGTCATGTTTACTGGAAAGTTGTTGTGAGGGTGGCGAAGACCTGGCGACTACATCAGGCATGGGGCTTGTGCTTAGAGGGACTCAGCCAACCAGTCAGTGTGACTCTTGGTACGCTGACGACGTAGAGACACAGCATTCGACGCAGGGCTACTATCAGCCTCGGTGCTGGTGTTGTGTCGTGAAGGTCTACACGGTCGCCGTCTGTGGCTTCGTCCAGTGCAGAGGCAGAGATCTACGCTGGTGCCATGTCGGCACAGGAGCTTCGCTGATTGACCTTCTTGCTCGCCGACCTTGGTCAGTGGCCCTCGCTCTGCACCGACCTTGTACGCTGACAACAAGGCCATGATCATCATGTGTCGAGAGCCTCGACTGGAGAGCAAAGTGAAGCACATTGACGTGAGGTACCTTCTCCTGCGAGAGTTACAGCGACGCGACCAGGCATGCTTCGACTTTGTGGCCGGAGAGGCCAACACTACCGACGTCTTCACGAAGGCCTTAGCGCCTTGTGACCACCACAGGTTCAGTGTGCATCTAGGGCTTGTTGAGGTAGGCCCTTGGTTGATGTAGTCTTGCTATTGGCTCTGCTTTTTTTGCTTTGCTATATAAACTGGCCTTGTGAGCGCTTGTTTGTGCTCGGAGTGTGTGGTGACTTTGAGCGTCTCCCTGAGCCTTGTTTTGTTGCTTGCTCTTGACTGGTCTTGTGACCATCTGCTGTCACTTGTTTGTCTCCTTCATACCCCTCACTTAGCCTATAGGGGTGTGTCAAACTATAATAACTCTTGTAAGCTGTAATGAGATGCCTTATAGGGGGTACAGTTGTTAGGGTTGCATATTTGTATCCCATCCGTTTCTATTCCTAGCTACTCTTGAGAGTGTGAGCTAGCTAGTGCGACACTGGCATCGAGGCTCGGGCTAGCCCTGAAGCGTAGGCCGACACGGCCAGGCCATCGGTGTGCGGTTTGGTGAATAGTGCGTGCGAAAAATGGCAAAGCCCTGTTAGCAGTAATGGGCGAACAATGGCTGCTTCTGTACGTGGTGTTGAAGCACGCAGTAAGGAATGCCGGAAAATTCTTTACCGATTGCCACCCCCAAGCACCTTAGTCACTAGATAAGATTGAAGACTTCAAAACATAGCGTTACGAGTACACGGCTCTCTATTTCAGCCTGGATCTCTTCGGCGACTTTCCGCGCTTTCTGGAACCTAACCTCCCCCGCTCCCCAAAGTACTCCAGCAGGCTCAACAATCTCGAAGTGCAGTACCGTAGCGACGGCTACACTGGATCCCCCCAACCCCCAAGCAAAATTCCCAAGCAAGGCCAGCCTAGATCCTGATTCCCTAAGCACGGGGCGTAGCTCAGTACGCCAGTCGCTAGGTGGTGAACTAGCAGCTTAGTGGCATCGTCACAAGAGGGAAGAGGTTATGATTTTACCGTTTGGCCGTTCGTTTGTCCGATGATCGAAGCCTGTCGTCGTATAATCTGTAAACTGGAATGAAATTTCCGACGGACGGAGGACAGACAGACTTTGACTCAGCAACAAGACTCGCGGCGTAGTCTAGACGACAGTGAGCAGCAAAGTCGACAAGCTCAGCAACTAAGGCAGACGCAGCAGTGGACTCAAAGGAAGGGTCAGTGACAACAGTAGCCAGGAGACGCCTGATAGTAGGACTAGCAGCACGAAGGGAGTCAGACTCCGGGTCAACAAGGGCAGGAAGAGAGGACGCATGAGGAGACAGCAGAGAGACACGCTGCGGAGCAGTAGAAGGGCGTGTCAGATTTATATGACAGAGCTACTGTAGGCTATAGTGGGGTAGCACATATGGGGTACAGTTTTTTTCTAGGGTTTGTATTTGTACCCAACTTTCCCTTAGTCATTTTCATTCCTGTTTTTCTTAATTCACATGGTATAGAGCGGGTTCCTACATGGGACCGTTCCTTCCTAAGGGCCCACCATAACGAATTTTTTTTTAGCTGCCCGACGCGCATTGCGCCCCTGCCCTAAATTTTATTTTTAGCGGCCCCTACGCGGCCTCTGACGCGGCCCCACCGCGGCCCCTGACGTGGCCCCTACGCGGCCCCTGACGCGGCCCCAACGCGGCCCCTGACTCGGCCCCAACGTGGCCCCTGACGCGGCCCCTACGCAGCCCCTGACGCGGCCCCTACGCAGCCCCTGACGCGGCCCCTGCCGCGGCCCCTGACGCGGCCCCTACGCGGCCCCTACGCTGCTCCTGAGGCGGCCCCTGACGCGGCCCCTGACGCGGCCCCCTCCGCCGCCACTACCGCGGCCCCTACGTCGCCCCTGACGCCGCCCCTGACGCGGCCCCTGCCGCAGCCCCTGACGAGGCCCCTGACGCGGCCCCTGACGCGGCCCCTGCCGCGGCCCCTGACGAGGCCCCTGACGCGGCCCCTGACGCGGCCCCTGACGCGGCCCCTGACGCGGCCCCTGACGCGGCCCCTGCCGCGGCCCCTGCCGCGGCCCCTGACGCGGCCCCTGACGCGGCCCCTGCCGCGGCCCCTGCCGCGGCCCCTACGCCGCCCCTGACGCGGCCCTCTCCTGCACCTGACGCGGCCCCTAGCGGCCGGCCGCTGCCGTCCCTGAGGCAGCAGCCGCCGCCGTCTCTGCAGCAGCGGTCGCAGCCGAACGGCCGAGCCGCCGAGCCGCCCAGCAGCCGAGCCGCCCAGCCGCCGAACCGCCCAGCAGCCGAGCCGCCCAGCAGCCGAGCCACCGAGCCGCCCAGCAGCCGAGCCGCCGAGCCGCCCAGCAACCGAGCCGCCGAGCCGCCGAGCCGCCCAGCAGCCGAGCCGCCGAGCCGCCCTGCAACCGAGCCACCCGAGCCGCCCTGTCCGGTAAGAGCAGCGCCCCTTTCACAGCACTGCCCCCACCCTACTGTTTGCGCTGCTAGTCTACTACTGTCATGGCTACCCCTAGTGTCCTCGCTTTTGACGCTGAGGGTCGGGCCATTGACTTTGATGTCTGGATAGATGACCTGCAGCTTTTCTTACAGTGCGACAGGGCAGACGGCCTCTCCCTCTTTGACCTCACTTCTGGTGCCTCTCCTGCCCCCTCTGCTGATGCTGACGCCACTGTTCGCTCACAGTGGGCCACGCGCGATGCTGCTGCACGTCTTGCTGTGCGTCGCCACCTGCCTACCTCTGAGCGTGCGCACTTTAGCCAGTACAAGAGTGCTCAGACCTTGTACGACGCTGTAGTTGCGCGCTACTCCTCCCCTGCCACTGCTGCACTGAGCCGCCTCATGCTACCGTACCTCTTCCCTGACCTTGCTGCCTTTCCCACAGTCGCTGACCTCATTACGCACCTCCGCACTAGTGACGCTCGCTACCGCGCTGCGCTTCCTGCTGAGTTCTGCGCCAAGAACCCCCCCCCCCCATGTACATCACCCTCTACTACATAGTCACCCGGCTCCCTGACTCCCTTCGCGTAGTCAGGGACCACTTCCTCTCAGTTTGCCCCACCACTCTCACCGTTGACCTCCTCGAGAAGTCCCTCCTAGCAGCAGAGAAGAGCATAGTCGCTGTAGGAGCCTCTCGTGGTGACCCTCGCACCCCCATCTTTGAGGGGTGTTCCCCCTCCCCCCTTTTGCCCTCTGTTGCCTCTGCTGCTGCGGCCGACCTCGTTGGGCTTGAGTCGGTCGGTGCGGCGTCTACCCCTAGCGGGAGACGTCGCCCTGGCAAGGGCAAGGGGGGCAGGGGCACTGGAGGAGCTAGCGGGGGCGGTGGAGGCGGAGGTGGAGGCGGTGGAGGGGGTGGGGGTGGCGGTGGGGGTGGTGGCGGGGGTGGAGGTGTCGGTGGCGGCAGTGGAGGCGGAGGCGGAGGCGGCGGTGGCGGTGGGAGCGGAGGTGGCGGCGGTGGAGGAGGAGGCGGCGGAGGAGGTGGAGCTGGTCGGGGTGGCGCTGCCCAAAGGGTCGGCTCCGGTGGTGGTCAGCGCCAGCAGCAGCAGCAGCAGCAGCAGCAGCGCACTCGTGACATCCCCTCCCCTCAGCAGCTCCGTGAGTGGTACACTGCACGCCAGAGGGGTGGGGGTACTGGTCCGTGCACCTACGTCCTCCGCACCGGCGACCGCGCGGGTGACCAGTGCGGGGGTGCGCACTCCACCCAGCGCTGCTTTGGCCGCCTGACGGACGCTTGGCGTCACCAGTTCCCTGAGGCCACTGAGATCCCCCGCTGGGGTGAGCTGTCTAGGGCGGGTGTAGCTGTCTTTGACCTTGACTTTGATGCTATTCTTGCTGCCATGTATACTGTGACTATTAGTGATGAGGGTGACTGTTACCGGTGTTTTCCGCCCGACCCGGGCATTGAGACTGCTGCTCCAGGTACTGGTGAGGCTGCTGCTCTAGGTGCTAGCGAGGCTGCTGCTCTAGGTGCGTCTGCTCTCTCAGGTTCTGCGTCGGCTTCGGCCTCCCACACCTTCACCCTTGACTCGGGGGCTTCTCGCTCCTTCTTTCGAGACCGCACCACACTCACGCCGCTTGGCCGGCCAGTTGCAGTCTCTCTGGCAGACCCCTCTGGGGGTCCTGTCCTTGCTCACTTCTCCACTGTCCTCCCGTGTCCGGCGGCCCCCTCTGGCACCCTGTCTGGTCTTTACCTCCCCTCGTTCTCTACAAAATTGGTGAGTGGTGCTGACCTACAGGATGCGGGGGTTCACCAGTTCACTCCTGCGAGTCAGCGGGTGACCCACTGCACGGACGCTCGGACAGGCCGACACCTGGCCACGTTTACACGTCGGCCGGGGTCGAGCCTGTACACACTGACCACTGCGTCTCCTCCGGTCACTGCGTCTGGTCAGGTAGCTGCGTCAGGTCAGGTGTTTGCTGCAGCGTCCAGGTCTGGTCCTGAGTCTGCCCCCTGTTCGTGTCGCCTCCTGTCTCACGAGACTCTCCTCTGGCACCACCGCCTTGGTCACCCCTCCCTGCTTCGTCTCCGAGGCATGGCCTCCCGTGTCCTTGTCTCTGGTCTTCCCCGGTCCCTCCCTCCCCTTCCTCCGGGGCCTGGCCCTACCTGCGTCCCCTGTGTCGAGGGGCGGCAGCGGGCTGCCCCTCACTCCTCCCAGTTTCCTCCGACAGAGGCCCCGCTGCAGACGCTTCACATGGACGTGTGGGGCCCGGCCCGCGTCCGTGGACAGGGTCACGAGCGCTACTTCCTGCTGGTGGTTGACGACTACTCGCGTTACACCACAGTCTTCCCCTTGCGCAGCAAGGGTGATGTCACTGAGGTGTTGATCGACTGGATCCGCGCAGCTCGTCTCCAGCTCAGGCAGAGCTTCGGCTCGGACTTTCCTGTTCTGCGTCTGCACTCTGACAGAGGTGGAGAGTTCTCCTCTGGCCTTCTGCGAGCCTACTGTCGTGCACGAGGCATCCGCCAGACCTTCACGCTTCCGGACTCTCCACAGCAAAATGGGATTGCTGAGCGCCGCATTGGCATGGTCATGGACGTCGCCCGTACGTCCATGATGCATGCGGCTGCCCCCCATTTTCTGTGGCCGTTTGCTGTTCGGTACGCGGCGCATCAGATCAACCTTCACCCCAGGGTCTCCATGCCGGAGACCTCCCCAGCCTTGCTGTGGACGGGGAAGGTTGGCGATGCGTCTGCGTTCCGTGTCTGGGGATCTCGGGCGTTTGTCCGCGACTTGTCTGCGGACAAGCTGTCCCCTCGTGCTGCTCCTTGCGTCTTCCTTGGCTTCCCCCCTGATGCGCCAGGGTGGCAGTTCTACCACCCCACCTCTCGCCGTGTTCTGTCCTCCCAGGACGTCACGTTTGACGAGTCGGTCCCCTACTACCGCCTCTTCCCCTACCGCACTCCGTCCCTCCCCCCGCCACCGCTCTTCCTTGTACCAGGTCCCCCCCCGGTAGACCCCCTCCCCCCTCAGGGTCCTGCCCCTTCAGGTGTGTCCCAGGTAGACGCAGTCGAGCCTGTCGAGATTACTGGTGACTCTGGTGCTGCTGAGGGTGCTGAGCCTGGGGGTGCTGACTCTGGGGGTGCTGAGCGTGTGGGTGCTACGCCTGGGGGTGCTGAGCCGGAGGGTGCTACTACTGGGGGTCCTGAGCCTGGGGGTGCTGAGCCTGGGGGTGCTACTACTGGGGGTGCTGAGCCTGGGGGTGCTGAGCCTGGGGGTGCGGAGCCTGAGGGAGCTGGGCCTGCTCGTGTGGCGTCTGGCGGTGCTGAGCCTGGAGGTTCTCCGGGTGCTTCGTCTCGGCGGGAGCCACTCTCTCCACAGGAGCTGCGCGAGTGGTTTGCCCGACGCTGGAGGCGTGCTGCTGGAGCTGGAGGTTCTTCGGCTGCTGAGGGTGCTGGTGCCGTGGGTCCCGGAGGTGCTCGTCCTGGGAGTACTGGAGCTGCTGGGCCTGCGGGTACGACTGGAGCTGGAGCTGCTGAGGGTGTTGACGCTGAGGCTACTGCTGTCGGTCCTGGAGGCGGTCCTGTTGGGGGTACTACTGGTGCGGCTGGAGGTCCCGGAGCTGGAGGTGCTGCTGGCGCTGGTGCTGCCGCTGGGGGTACTGGTGCTGTCCCTGCTGTGTCTGGAGTCGCCGCGCGGCCTCGGCCGTACTTCGTTCCGCTCCTTCAGCAGGTTCTTGGTCTCCCGCCTTCTACTGGTCCTCCTCCTCCCTTAGAGTGTCCACAGCCTGTCCCGTCACAGTTCCAGTTACAGCCGGCCTCCCCACTGCCCGCTCCCTCTCCCTACACTAGTCCTACTGGAGGTCTTGCTGAGCGTCGTGAGCCTGCATCCCGCCCTGCGTCGCCTGTCCGTGCTGCTCGCACTAGTGGTCGTGGTTCGCGTCAGCGTCCTCCTCCTGTCCCTGGCACGCACCGGATGTCTCTGCGTCCGTCCACTGCTCCTCTGCGTGCCCCTTTGCCTTCTCCTCCTGAGTCCTCTCTTCTTGCTCTTCCTGACCCGGAGTCGGACTCTCTTCGTGCTGCCAGTCCTACTGTCACACGTCTCCTTGCTACTGTTGTCACTGACCCTTCCTTTGTGTCCACTGCTGCGTCTGCCCTAGTTACTGAGCTCGTCGACTTTGCTGCTCGCTGTCGTCTAGACTACGCTGCTAGTCTTGTTGCTGAGTCTGTCTGTCCTCCGTCCGTCGGGGGTGAGTGTGCCCTTGGCACGGACGTCCTTGAGGACAGGCAGGAGGAGTTCCAGTGTTTGGCTGCTGCTTCACCTCATCTCGTGTCCGTACTGCTTACCCCTGAGGGAGACCCGGATGCACTTGACATCCCGACTCCGCGCTCTTACGCGGAGGCGATAGAGGGTCCCTACTCCTCTCAGTGGCAGGCAGCTATGGACGCAGAGATGGCTTCCTGGAAGTCCACAGGCACCTACGTTGACGAGGTTCCCCCGCCTGGGGCGAACATCGTCAGTGGCATGTGGATTTTCAGGGTGAAGCGGCCGCCGGGTTCTCCGCCTGTCTTCAAGGCGCGTTACGTGGCTCGTGGCTTTAGTCAGCGGCAGGGAGTTGACTACTTTCAGACCTTCTCTCCCACCCCGAAGATGACCACTCTTCGGGTACTGCTGCACGTAGCTGCTCACCGCGACTACGAGCTACACTCTCTTGACTTCAGCACTGCTTTCTTGCAGGGTAGCCTGCACGAGGAGATCTGGCTGCGTCGCCCACCTGGCTTCACTGGGTCTTTTCCTCCTGGCACCCAGTGGAGCCTCCGGCGGCCAGTCTACGGTCTCCGCCAGGCACCGCGTGAGTGGCACGACACACTGAGGACTACACTTGCGGCTCTTGGGTTTGCTCCCTCTACTGCCGACCCGTCGCTGTTTCTGCGCACCGACACTTCTTTGCCGCCGTTCTACATCCTCGTGTACGTCGACGACTTGGTCTTTGCCACAGCTGACACTGCTGGACTCGCCCACGTGAAGTCCGAGCTGCAGAAGAGACACACGTGCACAGACCTGGGTGAACTGCGCAGCTACCTTGGCTTGCAGATCACCCGGGACAGAGCACGCCGCACCATTACCCTGACTCAGTCACACATGGTGCAGCAGGTCCTTCAGCGCTTCGGCTTCACGTACTCCTCGCCTCAGGCCACTCCTCTGCCTACTCGCCACTCGCTCTCAGCTCTGCCTTCGGATGAGTCCGTAGAGTCGAGTGGCCCGTACCCAGAGCTTGTTGGCTGCCTCATGTACCTGATGACCTGCACACGACCTGACCTTGTATACCCTCTTAGCATTCTCGCACGCTATGTTGCTCCTGGGAGACACCGACCGGAGCACATGGCTGCAGCGAAGAGGGTGTTGCGCTACTTGTGCAGTACGTCGGGCATGGGGCTTGTGCTTGGAGGGCAGAGTCC